TTCCTTCAAGTGCGACGTTTTGTTTTTGTTGAAACTTTCTGAACCTTGAAAGTCTCCAAACGCTAGGGCTTTTACTGCTCCGGCCAATCTTTGAATCTTGAAGGTTTTTTTCCTAGTAGTAGTTTGGGCAAAGCACTGATTGGGTTATGAAACCTTGGTTACGATTAATTAGATCATGCCTTGTGTTGGTTGAAAAGGCTGGATGTTGGTGAAACTAGATCAGAAAAACGTTATTCATGAAAACGGCATTCGCTCTTTTCACCTTTGGCTCAATTGATTGGTTCTAGATTTTTTTGGTTAGTTGAAAGTAGTGGAAATCATCATATCAAGGTAGGGAATGATTTTCAGTAGTTAGTTTATCTAGCCGTATTATCTTTCCTTGAATTAAGCTTTTTCGAGTTGTTTCAAAATCTTTATATCTGCATTTTCCTTCACTGTACATGCTTCTGAAGATTAACTTTTATAGATGGCCGGAAAGAAACGGTACATTTTGATAAGATCACTGCTCGTATCCAGAAGTTGTCATACAATCTTAATATGGACTATGTTGACCCAGTGAGTGAAATAACTGTTAGACTGCCTAACAGCTTCTTTATGCTTATAAAACTCTGTTCTAAAGCTTATGTGATCTAATTCAGGTGTTGGTAGCTATGAAAGTAATTGGAGGATTGTACAAAGGTGTTTCAACAGTAGAGTTGGACAACTTGGCTGCAGAAACTGCTGCATCAATGACTACTCAACATCCTGATTATGCTATCCTCGCTGCTCGTATTGCTGTATCAAACTTGCACAAAAAGACCGGAAAGGTACATTTCTCAATTTATCTCGATTCAGGGGCTTTAAATGTTATTGGCAGGTCTTTTCCGAAGTCATGAAGCGACTGTATGAGTTCCGTCATCCATCGACTGGGGAGCATTCTCCGATGATCAGCAAGGAGACTTACGATATCATCATGAAAAATGCTGATGTACGTTTCGATTTCACACGTTTTGATAGTTTGTCGCAGCTGTTGATCTTTCAGAGGCTTAACTCCGCTATAGTATATGATCGTGACTTCTCCTACACTTATTTTGGGTTCAGAACTCTTGAGCGATCATATCTTTTAAAGATAAACAAGGAGGTATGTTACTCATTGATGTTTGTCATGCTTCAACAATAAACATTTTCTCAAGGTAGCGGAACGTCCACAGCATATGCTTATGCGAGTGGCTGTCGGCATACATGGTGAAGATATCGATGGTGCAATTGAGACCTACAACTTGATGAGCGAGCGATATTTTACACATGCATCGCCAACACTTTTCAATGCTGGAACCGTATGGTGAGTATAGTTTTATTTTCGGATGGGTCTTAAATTTGTTTCTTTCATAGTAATTGGGGTTCTTTAGGCCTCAACTTTCTTCTTGCTTCTTGCTAACGATGAGTGAGGATTCAATTGCCGGCATTTACGATACATTGAAGCAATGCGCTTTGATTTCAAAGAGTGCTGGAGGAATTGGATTGAATGTACATAACATTCGTGCCACTGGTTCTTTGATTGCTGGGGTGAGGATTGAGAATGTTGTCAGTTCGGTTTTGAGCACCATATCTATAGCACCTTATTCAGACTAATGGTACTTCAAATGGTTTGGTCCCTATGCTTCGTGTGTACAATAACACTGCACGCTATGTGGACCAAGGTGGAAACAAACGCCCGGGAGCTTTCGCCATCTATCTTGAGCCATGGCATGCTGATATCTTTGAGTAAGTTCTTTTTTGATTTTGTTTTATAAGAGCTCTCTTAGCTGAAAAGTATCTTGCTCATCGATAGGTTCGTCGCTCTGAGGAGAAACACTGGTCCTGAAGAGGAACGTGCTCGCGATCTCTTCTATGCTATCTGGGTGCCAGATTTGTTCATGAAAAGAGTCGAGCGCGATGAGGATTGGTCTCTAATGTGCCCACATGAATGTCCTGGTCTTAGTGATTGCTGGGGAGAGAAGTTCGAGGAACTGTATACTGGGTACGTACCTTTAGGTTTATTTCCCATGGTGTTTTCTCCTCTTGTTTTGGTTTTTCTTTGTTCGGCGAAATAACGGAAAAAATGTTATAGATACGAAAAAGAACACCGCTTCCGTAAGCAAGTGAAGGCTCGCAAACTTTGGGAACAAATTGTATCCAGTCAAATTGAGACAGGAATGCCGTTCATTGTGTACAAAGTTAGTTTTTTTTTGTAATTGAATATCTGCTTATCTATGCTTAAACGATAATGAAAATGCAATGTGTCATACTAAG